AATGTTAATTATTTCCATGATAATATCGATTATTTACCTATAATTGATATATATATATATATATATATATATATATATATATATATACGTTTGAATTGCGTTTGTGTGATCGCTCGTTGCTGGCTGTTTGCAGAATATACTTGCCCATTCCAAGCTTGGACTTCTCCTTCTAGTTAGCGAGGCTGAGACGCATCAAATAGCTAGCTTTCTGATCTTTGGTCACTGAGTCTTTGTTCTCGTTCGCAGATTAAGTGAACTCGTGATAACCTCAAACCTAGCAGTGTTGTGTTAAATAATATGTGGTTTAGTCGAAAAGAAGAGTTCATATACTCAAATTCTCACTATTTATTCATTTTATTATTACCAAGGTTTAAGAAATTTGTCAAACTTACGTTATCGTTAAAAATTTACATTGAATAAGCTACAATATCTAGCATTTTTATATATTCTATAATAAAGAAATAGAGTTACTTAGGCTATTCTTTGTGAATTCTACGAAGTAGGCGATTGAAAATAAACTTAAAATGTAAATGTTCAACAACATGCTCATGTATTCGAAGTTTAACTTGTAAAATGTAATGATTAAAATGACTAATATATCCCTATATGCAATGAGTGACATTTATTAATATTTTGTAACTTGAACTATTAATTAAATCAGATTAGGACACAAGAGAGTTGAGCAAGATCATGGATCGATTAAAGTTAGACATTAACACAATTGGATGACGGATTAGTGGTCTAGAGGTTAAGTGTTCGCGAATGAGATCGAAAGTCGTGAGTTTGAGTCCCGTGTACAGGGTCATGGATTAGCACTGCTGTCGTGTTACATATTAGGACGAAACGGTTGTTTAGTGCTTCTAGATTTTCAATGGGGATCTAGCTTAGATCAACTCATGAGTTCAACTATGAAAATGCTAAAATCTTCACAAATCCACACATTGATAAGGTACAAGACTTCAATAAGTGGTTTTTGCTTATTGAATAAATGAAAATAAGTTTTAGAAGATATCATGTATGAACATCTTTCAGTTAAAGAATTGTTATGTATCACATACACTTATTATCAGAATTGTTTTATACAATTTATGACGAATTATAAATGTAAGTGGTGAAAGCACTGAATTATGGAGTAAAAATCATACAGCATAAAATGCAAGGCAAGTTCATGATAGTAATAAATCGAGAAATCAAATTGATGAAGATATTACATCTTTTCTAAATTCCGTGGAACATTTTCTCACCGTTTAGTTCCAATAATGTTCAAGACAACAACGGTGAGTCATTTCAAATATGTACAAATATAACTGAACATGTTATAAAACTATGCATGTTAAATATCAAAGACACCGGAAATGTTTAATTTTCTTGTATGATAAATATATATGGAATTTTGCCACTCTACAAAACAGACTAAAATATTGAAAGCATTAATTTATAAAAGAAATATAGTTGATTAGTATCATTACATATTTATAAATGTAATTTAGAAAGGGGATTTTAATAGTTGAATTCCTGAGCCAATTAAAGCTAGACCACGATGAAAAACCTGGAAGTACTGGACGATCATTTCGTCCTAGTATGGCTTCGAATCCCGTGGGCGAGATCGTGGATGTGCAATGCAGAGGAGAGTCACAATAGGATGAAACGGCCATCCAGTGCTTCTAGGTTTTTCATGGTGGTTTAGTTTTAATCGACTCATGAATTCAACTATTAAAAAATGATTCATTTGAAAACTAAGAGAAACCTATTGGATTTTCGTTGTCTAAAGAAAGAATCTAATAAAATATCCGAAGAAAATTACTTTTCTATAAATTATTATTGTAATAAAAGTTTCTATTTTGTATGGTGTCTATTTATGTCTTTTTATGGTGACATATGAATAGATGAAGAATTACAATTTTCAATTTAGTCACTTAACATTAACATTTACATTTATGATATTTGATTTTTAGACCACCATTGTGAACCTGCAAGCACTGGATGACCGTTTCTTCCTATTGTGCAACTCCTCAGAAGTACATATGTACGATTATCTCATCCAAACTGGAATAAAGAAACCAAAACAGTTGTTGCATATTTTAAAAAACACCATACAAAACAGATGTGATAAGTATAGTGAGACCGTTTGAGAAAAATGAATCCTAAATTTTAAAGAAGCGTTGAGTATCATTTTATTGACAGTAGTCCTATGAGTAATGAAGCATGAGATTATTTGTCACCAGTAAAGTTGTCATACTTTGAGAGCGTTTTATCTTACTAACTTGTTGGGGACGCTAGATCCCCAAAACTCATATTTTGTAATCTTATCTTTGTGGAGCTTGTATGCGGATGTATGCTTGGGCATTTCTTACCACTTACGCACATAGTCGATTGACGAACTTATCGACTAAAAGTTTAAAAACTTCCATGGCAATATCGATTACATATATTTTGTATAAATACGCTTGATTTGTGTGCTTGATAGACCTGGTATCTTCTAGTTGTCTGTAGAATACACTTTCTACATCTTACCAAAACTTCTGGATCGAGTTAGCTGAGTCGGGGACAACGGACCAATTTAGCCTATCGAGTCTCTGAATCCTTGATTCTTTGTTCCGTTCCGAGTAAGACGAATCAGCAGTAGCATTCAAGTTTAACGAACATAACATAACTGAATGATTCAGCGACTATACATTCAGTAATAAGTTAACTGACTTTCCAGTATAAACATTAGGACATAGAACATAGAAGATGCTTGAAGCATAACTAACAATCATCTATAATGCTTATCGTTTGAGTAATTCATTACCAAATTTCATGTTATGGTTTTGTAGAACATATATTCTGATGGATATCTTTTTTAATCACAAGTTATCACACCTTATATACATTTATTAAACTGTTGATTATTTGATAAACTGCACACATGATCATTATTTATTCATCATCTATATTATAATGAATCATAATGTAATACGATCTTTGAATTTAATCATCCCCTAATGTTATGAATTATTTAATGTAGATATATATTCAATTCATTGAATAGATGATAGATGGTTATTTAACTTTATAAATTGACATTCATTATCGACTATTATCTATTCCTGTAAATCTTGGATAATCTTAATATTGCAGAATTGATCAAATTCATGTTAGATGTTGTTGTAAATCAATAAGCATTTTGTTCAGGGTTTCTTGTTTTCATTCCCGTTTTAAAATATCTATTTACTCATGAGTAGAAAGATACAATTACCCATCAACTCGGATAATGGAAATCTTCCTTTGATTCAGATTATAAATAACGATCTACAATAGTTGGTTCATAATATAAGTAAAACAACTAGAGGTAACCAATTAATAAGTCTTAAATAAAATAAAAAAGTAGTATCGGTTAATTTGCATATTTAACTATATAGATTTGAAACAATTCCCAAGTGTCTCACGAGAATAACTATAATAACTTAAGTGTTTATATAATGTTCTTTTTTATGTTTACACTTTTATGTTCATATATACATGAGAAGGTATTTAATCATGTCATTTAAACATATATACAGTTAATGACTATTACTTTTATTAACTTCAATTACAATGAGTTCGTTTCCCTGCTAAAATAGCCTATATCCATTCAAGAATAGTGTTTGAAATATAAGTAATTGTTGTCTTTATGAATTTGATGTTCATCTTGTTGTGGTGTAGCAAATTAAACTAATGTATATATGTACCTGATCCTAAGTCGTAGCTGACTTATTGACTGATTGTCTTTATTTTATAATGCCACAATAGGACGAAACGGCCGTCCAGTGCTTCTAGGTTTTCCATGGTGGTCTAGCTTCAACTGACTTATGATCTTAACCACTGAAATTACTACAATCTCCACAAAAACCCATCTGATATTAATGCCAAATACTTAATTTTGTACCATTTAACTGAAAAACCCATATATATATATATATATATATATATATATATATATATATATATATATATATATATATATATATATATATATATATATATATATATAAGCACTACATATTATGTGATTACAGGGGTTTTCAATATCTGAAGTTAAATAAGCTTTATAACGTGGGTAAATGTTAGAAAACCCTAATCCGGTATTCATTTCTAGCCATTAAATGAAAAACAAAAGATATTTACAGAAGTTTTTGAAATAATATTAGTTTACCAAAAGGTTCATTTAGTAGATAAAGGTAATGATTATCTTTTTATGTTAAATATTAATCATCCCTATAATTAGGTTATTAGATTCACACTAAAGTCTGAAATTTTTTTTCCTCAGCATTAGTTCATTTATATTCGTAATAAAATCGTAAAGAGAATCATATAAAGTGCTTTGATTTTATTTCATGATTGTTGTCGAATTCCCGTTAATCAGAATTTCTTAAATTCATTTGCTTTTTGATAGAAATTAACGATTTAAGAGGAACGTGGATGTGCACTACTGAGGAGTTCCATACTAGAATTAAAAACGTCCGTCCAGTGCTTCCAGGTTTTTCATCGTCGTCTAGCTTCATTTAACTCATGATTTCAACTGTTGAAATTTGAGATGACTTTAATATTGCAATATGAATCCAATAAACATAATTAAGGTTAACTTGACTGAAGTTTGTACCTGAGCTAATAATAAATGTTGTATGAACATAAGTTGGGAATGTCTTGTGAAATCTGAATAGTTTTATAGTGAAATATATTTGTAATATAAAGTATATCAACAGTCTAGAAATCTAACTTCTTTGAAATAATAGATGTTTATTTAAAGGTTTGATCAAAAACAACCAATGTGAGATCTATTTTAAGGTATGATGAAATTAGCTATTACCCATTAAAACATTATAGAGAATTAACATTGATCTGTCTGTCATTTAAGTAATATTCACTCGATGAAATAAGTAGTAAATTAAAATGTTTACGTTAAATTATATTCAAGTTTGTTATTTTATGTTTCAATCTAATTAATCAGGTCATGCTAATTGACCGGATCATACTAATTAATGAAACGAAATTGTTCAATTTTGATTTATAACAGCATTTATTTATTTATAAATAGAAAAAAGGTATGCATATTAAAATATGTCAAAATGAACTCGTCAGTAATATGTGTTTACCTATTCTAAATAACATTCTTGATATACTCATGATGATTTATAATAGAAACTTATAAGAATTACCGTTAATACATACAATTCTATGTACCTTAGCGATTGATAATTTTTGTTAACTACAATAAGGTTACTTTATTGACACAAACTATCAAATGAATGTACAGATAAACTATAAAGCAGTGTGCTGTAATTTGAGAAGACTGCAAATAATAAAATCATTATATGCTAAAAAAGAAAACGCGGTCAACCTTTAACTCATATAATAAAATCGCCCAATATCTTCACATTAGTAATTCTATCTAATTTTGTTATTTTTATGTAACTTTCTTTCAGTTGATATCGTTATTGTTGATATCAACATCATCATCATCAGCATCATCATCATCATCATCATCATCATCATCATCATCATCATCATCATCATCATCATCATCATCATCATCATCATCATCATCATCATCATCATCATCATCATCATCATCATCATCATCATCATCATCATCATCATCATCATCATCATCATCATCATCATCATCATCATCATCATCATCATCATCATCATCATCATCATCATCATCATCATCATCATCATCATCATCATCATCATCATCATCATCATCATCATCATCATCATCATCATCATCATCATCATCATCATCATCATCATCATCATCATCATCATCATCATCATCATCATCATCATCATCATCATCATCATCATCATCATCATCATCATCATCATCATCATCATCATCATCATCATCATCATCATCATCATCATCATCATCATCATCATCATCATCATCATCATCATCATCATCATCATCATCATCATCATCATCATCATCATCATCATCATCATCATCATCATCATCATCATCATCATCATCATCATCATCATCATCATCATCATCATCATCATCATCATCATCATCATCATCATCATCATCATCATCATCATCATCATCATCATCATCATCATCATCATCATCATCATCATCATCATCATCATCATCATCATCATCATCATCATCATCATCATCATCATCATCATCATCATCATCATCATCATCATCATCATCATCATCATCATCATCATCATCATCATCATCATCATCATCATCATCATCATCATCATCATCATCATCATCATCATCATCATCATCATCATCATCATCATCATCATCATCATCATCATCATCATCATCATCATCATCATCATCATCATCATCATCATCATCATCATCATCATCATCATCATCATCATCATCATCATCATCATCATCAATCATTATTATTATTATTATTATTATTATTATTGTAAGCTGGTAAACTTTTACTGACTTGAAAAAACTACAATTTTCGTTATATGTTCGCGTTCCTTATGAATGATCGCACTTCAGGCTGTTATATAGTACATATTTTATGTAAAAGAGTTAGAACCAATTAGTTAATTTCAATAGTTGAGATAATGATTCAGTTGAAGCCAGATCACTATGGAAAACCTGAAAACACCGGAGGCCTTTTCGTCCTAGCATGGGATTCTTCATTAGTGTGCATCCACGATCTCACCTTGCGAGACCGATAGGTCCAGGGTTCAAATATCGCAAGGCAGGATCGTGAAAACGCACTGTCAAGGAGTCCCACAATAGGAAGAAATGGCCGTCCGGTGTTTTCAGGTTTTCCATAGTGGTCTAGCTTTAATTGACTCATGATCTCAACTACTGAAATTACTATAATATACACAAAAACCTCTTCTGAGTTAGTTAATTGTTTAGTACAAATATATAGTAACTACATTTATACAGACAAATTCTACATGGCATGAAGTTTTCAAACGAGATCATATATGAATATTGTAGCAAACCTAGTTGGTTTCATTGAATTGTTATGAAAGAAAAAATACGTAGAGTTTATCAAACGAAATCAACTAAGTATAAAAATAAGCTTTAGTCATTTTTGTAAAAAAGAAAAAACAAACAATACGAAATCAAATTATTGTAAACTGTAAGACGTTTTACAGTAATAACAATTGTATCTATGCCGTATATAAATGTTAATAAACGATAGATTTATAAAATGATCGAAAGAAAAAATGCCAGTATGAAATTCAGTAGTATTTGTGTTAGAAGTATAAAAACAGAAAAATCAAGTTTCTTAGTATGAGGTTGTGGAGATCATGAACTGATTGATGTTAGACCACCATTGAGAATCTGGAAGTACTGGATAGCCATTTCGTCCTATTGTAGAACTCCTCAACAGTTAGCACCCATGATCCCACTCGCGGGATTCTTGTATCATTACCAAGGTTTGATTAGATAATTTCGAATGCATTGAGCATTGGGTAGGTTGTTATAAATAAAATAGCATACTTGTAATATCTCAATGAGTAGACATAGCAAATTTTCTGACGTTTCGTAACTCAGTGTGATCCACTTCTTCAGAGCATAAATAACCAAACCAAAGATGTTCCCTACTCATTGGCATATTACAAATATATTATATAAATACGTTTCTTAATAATTTCTTTTATGTTTCGAGCTAAACAGAAAATGTACATCGATATCCGGATGTGTTGAAAATTAAGATGAACGAATTAAGGATAAAAATAACTTCATAATATGTGTGAACGTTTTTGAATACCTCAGTAGTAAAAGTATTCATAATCCTACAAATAAAAATAATACTTATAGATTAAAGTTCTATGCGGTAATTTTGAAACAGTTCAGTCAACATTTTCCATATATCAGTAACATGTATCCAGCTAGCTATCATATCAGACAGTAGTTTACTGAAGCATATCCTTCGAGTAGAAGTTTCACTGAATAACTGAGAGACAAGAAGTAAAAATTAATAATATAAAGTACTGACAATTGAATTCTAGCTGAATGTAAAATACAATGTGATGGATATATTTAATTGATGTAAGATATTATCGTTTAGTCCCAGAAATTGTAAAAAACACACTCACAAACATTAGAAACTTTTGACAAACTTTCATATTAGCATTTATTATCAAAGATGATACTTACTTAATTACTCGTATCTGGGTTTAAATTTACATTTTGGAATTACATATTATTTAATGATATAGACAAATAATTCACTTACAATTCACAGTTATATAATATACCCTTGTGGGCCAGGGTAATTTTACATTGGTTTTCAGGAGAACCAGACACCATCCGGACTTTCACGTGACAATTCAAACAGTACAGCTCAGCTCTGCTTCACAGGAGAACCAGACATCGTATGGGCTTTAACGCTACAATCTGAAAAAAAACAGCTCAATCCTGTGGCGCCACCACACAGGTACCAAGCACCCTGGTGGACCAATAGACAACTAATTACTATGTAAAAAAATACTAAAAGCAATCTAAATACTTTGTTCCTATTTCAATAATATTTTTTTAAAGATGACAAGATATTATAGCGAGACTATAAGATATGGACAAATCAATCAGATTTAAGATAACAGGTCTCGGATTTCGGCGCGAAATTCATTCACCCACAAAGCTAAATAGAGTTTTGGCATTATAACTGATATCAATTCGTGATGAAAATTCTAAATCTAATTCCTATCCTTAACCATCAACTGGAAATCACAATTCTAATTCCTCACATAGGTTTATAACCATCATTTGATCCTAGTTATTAGGTGGATATTGTCAAAGTCAGTCTAGCATTGCTCAAAGGTTGTCCATAACTTATAGTCTCACTGATTTTATTTTAAAATCTGAATAGAATAAAATATAAACTTTCTAATATCACACTACTTAATAAAAATATTCTACAATGTCACACTATTCATCGGTTAAATTGAACCGTGATTTATTAACTTAACTGTTTTCCAAATAAGTATTTCTCTGAATACAAAAGTTTTTCATACAATCAACAATGATACTTTATGTATTGAATTACACTGTGTGTATCAATATAGCCATTACCTCTAAAAAACCAACAAAAAAACGCTTGATAACTGAGTAAATTTACCTTTGATAAAATTGTACTCCCTATTTAGTCTATATGTCTAGATTAGTGATGTTTTCAGACAATTGATTTTACATTAATTCTGATTTATTGAATGAATAAAACTAATTCAATCTACTTTTATCAGTGACTATAGAGACAGACATGAATTTGTAGATAATTAATTTATCTCTAAAACCCTATTTGATACAAAACAAAGTGTCAAAGTAAATTCCGAAATCATAATTTGAATCAATGAATAACTTCATGTGTCAAATTTAAAAATAAAACTACTTTATTATAGGGAAATTATTCGAAATCGAATTATTCTAAAATGAATAAATATGTCAGAAAGGGAATTTTGTGGATATTGTAATAATTTAATAGTTGAATTCATAAATCGATTAAAGCTAGATCGTCATTGAAAACCTGGAAGCACTGGACGACTGTTTCGTCTTATTTTGGGACTCATCAGCAGTGTGCACCCACGATCTCGCACGCGGGACTCAAACATTGGACCTTCAGTCTCGCACGCGTGAGCTTAGTCTTTAGGCCACTGAGCCGTCATCTAACAGCGTTAATGTCTAACTTCAACCAGTCCACTATATATAGCTACCATTCACTATGTTCTTTAGTGAGCCACTGCCTTACAACAGATACGATTGAACTCAACTGGTCATGGTTTCTCAATAGAACTCCAAGAAATATCACTTGAAGTCAGTCAATAATGAGCATATGATGAATACAGTAGTGGGTGGTGGTGCGATTTCATGGATTGATCGAAGTTAAAGATTAACGCTGCTGGATGACAGCTCAATGATCTAGAGGTTAAGGGTTCGTGCGAGATTGAAGGTCCTACGTTTGAGTCCTACATGCGGGATCGTGGATTCTGAGAAGTCCTGGAACGAAACGGTCGTACACTGCCTCCAGATTTTCAACTGTGGTCTGGCTTTAATCGATTCATGAATCCAACTATTAATAAGTATGTATACATATTATTTTAATTGTGCAGGTTAAACTGAGTTCAGTTATTTAAATTTACTTCAATCAGTCAAGTTGTCAAATGTTGAATAACTAAAACACATATATCATACTTATATAAAGCATAAGAAACAACAGTTTGTATTTCTTCCAACCTACTGATTATGAATTTATAATTAAGCCATGTAGTTCTTCGTATGCTAAAACTTACATTTAAAATGATATCTTGACAATAAAAAATGGTTCATACCAGCTATTTTAGTAGGACTCTCAGTAGTTATTTCAGTTTATAAATGATTATGATATATATAATATTGTTTTCGATTTTGATAACTTGACTGGTACAGTGTTAACTCTGATTACAGTATATTCCAGAGGTTTCATAATCGTTTAGTTATGGGCATCGTGAAAAACGTATACAATCTAAATGGTTTATAAATTATACTGCTGACGAACAGCTAACCGAAGTAAGATTTGCTTGGCATCTTTCTGTTTTGAAAATAATCTATTAAAGCCAACTTATATTGCTTTGATTTGTTTATAAAAACAAGGTTTATCTGATGTTAAAGCACATTATGACCTAGGAAGAGAAATTTAGTAAAGATAAACAAGAGTATGATTTTTATCATCCATTTCGTCAATTATTACTTTATATAAGTTGACCAACTATCACTGAGATAAGATTTATACATATTGAATTCTTGAAAAAACTGTTTTTTCAATTCATGATGTCCCTAAATTTAACGATCTATGATTATTCACATCTCCATTTCTAATTAAACCATATACACTAGTTTCTGATTGTATTAACTATTCTCTGTCATTTTTATCAATATACATCAGTTTGTTTAATGAAAGTTTTTTTTAATCAACAAGATTTATTTTACTTACTTTTTATTTGAACATAAATACTGATACAGGGAGGCACCGAATACATATGCGCCAGATAAATCATTCGATTTGTGTGAGAGCTGTGGTGGTGCCAGGGTGCCCAAACTAAGGCAGGTGGTTCCCATAGGGGGCCACTTCCTGACACTTTGACCTAAATGTCTGATCTACAAGGCAGTGGAGCATCGTAAGGAGATGCAGTCCCATGGTAGCCGGTGACCAACGATTGGTTCATACGCTATTTGCTCCCTCAGGATACTGGAGCCCATGTGCACCATTAGTTTGGAATCAGGGTATTCCAACTCGCCGAAGTGGACTCTCCATGTCCACCAACCCGGGTCAAGCGCCGAACATTCGTTTTTCGTCCTCTCAATTTTGTAAACAACACCCCTGTCACGAGAAGGTAGTGAATAGAACTTCCCTGTCAGAGGCTATATAAACGTGGTCATGTGAGAGCATTTCGAGAAGGAGAGTTGACTCTCCCCACTCTCGGT